TCATAAAGGAAATGCCTTCCATGTCCAGATGCATTCCATAGCATGATTTTAATCAGATGCATAACACTCCACTGTATGGCTGTGCTATGATTTAATTAACCAACTTCTGAATATTCATGCCATTTTTGATAGTCATTGTGTTAAATAATGCTGTGGTTCATACTTTATACTCTTATATGGAAAGTTTTTACATAGTTTTGAAAATTACCATAAGACACATGGCATTATACATGGAATCAGTAAGTCAGAGGTTATTTATACTCTTTATGCTCCAGATACACATTAGTAAATTAATCTCTAGAAAGACCCTAGCAAAGCATTTATATTGTAGAGACATAGTAAAGTCTTGGGTTAAGATCATAGGTTCCTATGTCCCATCCCTGTCCCTTCGAACCATAAATAGTGTGCCCTCTCAGTTTCACTTCTTCAAGTCTTCATTATTTATGTTTAGGACAGGTTCTGTCTTGATGATTTTATTGGTGCAAAGCTCTTATGCTCTTTTGTCATCTCAATTCCAGGGTTCCTATTGTTTCCCTCAGATTTCCCGGGTTCCCCACTGCCACCTTTACTCAAGGCAAACACCTCCATATTCTCATCCATATGGGAGAGCTCATATACTCTGAATAAAGAAATATTTGTTAAAGAAAGGATAATGCTTTAAAAGCGATGGATAAACTGGCAAGCAGCCTAAGTAAGTTTGTTTTTCTCACCCCTAGACTCCAGAGCTCTCCAGTCTCACTGAATGTTCCTCTCTTATTGCCCTCTGTGATGTGCGGCATCCCTCAGCTACCTGGGATTTATGGGAGAGATTATATAAGGGTTACAGTTGTCCCAGAACAGGGGAAGATGACTATACCTACTGCTCTGTACTGGCTCAGACTACCATTGTCTGTCCAGTGCTGTGGACCCTTCCTTGACCAAACAAAGTGGGCTCAGCCATTGTAGAGTAGCTGGGGCTACTAGCTCATAGGTTATATCCAGGAAGCCTCCCTCAGCCTGGCTGCCTCTTCTTCCTGTGTGCTGGCATTGTCTTAATTCTGATGCTATCCTCAGGAAGAGGAAAAAAGCCCTTCTGTTCTTTCGAAAGATAACTTTGATGGATGTGTTTGTTATTGTCTGGTCTCCCGAGAACCGGGCTCTTCACTCAAGGCCGTTAATCTTTCTAAGCCTTATCTGATAAGCAGAGATGATAACAGTACCTACCTCATTGGGTTATTTTAAAAGTGTATAAAATAATTCACTGGGAAAGTGCTGAAGGGAGTACTGACACACAGTGAACAGCCAATAACTGTTATCTTCATTGCCATCACTGAAGATTTGTTTTTAAAGGGTCTAAAGCTAATCTTGATTTCTCTGTAGTCTTTTTGGAGCTTTTTCAAATATTGTGCTCTGAACATTGTCTACTTGGACACATATCTCATCTTTATTTCTGTCTTTAGTAGACTGAGTTCTTCAAGGATAGTGACTGACTTCATTTTTATAGCCCCAATAGTCTGCAATGTACATAGGAGGCATATATCTGTGGAAAGGGTATGCTGGATGAATGATTTATGCTTATATTTTTGTTTTAGTCTATTTTTGCATCTGTAATTATTTTTAACTTTTAAATAATTTAAACAAATTTTAAGATTTTAATATAATAATACCATTTCCCCTTCCCTTTATCCCCTCCAAAACTTCCCATATATACCCACTGAATAAACTAAGGGTTTTGGCAACAGATGTATAAACTGGACAACACAATCGCTCCATGGTATGGTGAAGAGGAAATTTTTATTGTAGATATGAAGGAGCCAGAGGCATCTGAAAGACTCAGAGCAGGAAGAGAAAGCAGTAGACTGAACAAGGCCAGCAGACTAGACTGGGCCAGGAGAGGACAGAGAGAGAACAGGAGAGTGAGAGGAAGACAAAGAGAGAAGAGGACCAAGAGAGAGGAACAAAATGAAAGTAGCATAGCAGAAATAGCAGGGTTATAAGGACAATGAAAAGCTGGGAGTAGGGAAATCCATGAACTGGAGAAATTAGAGAGTGGAGTGATAAGAGCCAGGATGCTAGGGCTGTCTCTGAAATGTGTACAGGTACTTGTCATACAGAACGAGCCTGGAGGCCAGCATGTGCTTTGGAATGCTAACAGGTACCACTTTAGCCATTTGTCCCTTCTGCCAGTGATAGGGAAATGGCTCCTTTGGTGGAGGAAAACTGGCTTTTTAAAATTTCTGAGGAGTGCTGTCTTTTGTCTACGTGCCAGAATTTGGAACTGACACCCACCCTTCAAATTCATGGCCTCTTTTTCTTTAATTTTTATTGTTGTTGTTGGTGGTGGTGGTGGTGGTGGTGATATGTGTTTCTAAATACGAAGTACACCCTGTTCAGTCTGTATAATGTGACTTGTATGTATGTTTTCAGGGCTGACTCTCTGTAACAGGCAATTGCTGTGCTTGTCCCTCTGCTGTTAACATTTCTTAGTAGTCTACAGTTCTTTGTTTAGGTTTGAGACCCCCTAAGCTTAACTCCCTTCCACAATAACATGTCTATTGGTATTGTCCTTATTCAGATCATGTTTAGGCTGGAATTGTTAAAACCTATCTATGCTCCATAAACTAAAGGAGAAAATCACATGGCCTAATAACATATGATTAAAAGGACCAGGCTGGTCTCGAACTCACAGAGATCCACCTGCCTCTGCCTCCCAGTGCTGGGATTAAAGGTGTGAGCCACCAACGCCCGGCTCTCATATGATTAAAAGGTAAAAGTGAAGAATAAGATGGCATAATAGTGTGGCTAGCAAATCCCAAACAATATATATGTGGCATATTAAAATTAGTAATTGATATAGGAAGAATGATGGATACAAGTTTGTTATGTAAAACTTAATTCTATTTCTACATACTGTTACTTCCACTGATCAAGAATAAGACCACAACCACAGTTTAAAACCAAATTTGAAGCAAGTTTTAATTAAATACTGGCCAGGTTTATGGGCTCTGTCCAGGTCCATACCCAGGATCCTGGGAAATGGCCCAGAAGCATAGTTTGCAGCAGTTCAAGAAGGAAAACCCATAATGCATTGCATTTCCCCTCAGGTCCAATCAGGGGCAAGGATACATCCTGATGTACCTCTAGCCTACATCCAGTCAGAGACAAGTGTATATCCTGACATACTTTCTGCCTGTGAACCTCCAACCTACATATGATCAAGCACATCCAGTACAGATGGGTCAAACAAACCTGTTTAGGGGACTGAAAAACATGTGGTTTGTCATCTCACACAAACAATAGCCTCCAGTACTACTACCTCACAGCTCCTGGAATTGTTAAAACTAGAACAAAACAAAGCAAACAAAGCCCAGACAGTATTGAATGGTGATTATGCAAAACAGCTCATGACTTGTTAATTGGTAAAACCACTTTGAGAAGCCTTTTGGACACATCCATTGTCACTGGCATGCCTATAATCCAGCGATTCTATTATAGTTACGGGCACAAGGAATTCATTCATGTGTGTGTGAAGTATGTACAAGAGTGTTCGTAGGTACATTACTTGTGATTAAGCTGGAAACAAGTCAGTGTTCTAAAGAGTGGAATGAATTAGCAATGTGACATTCAGACAGGGAAACACAATGCCACTTCGTAACACAGCCAAAGTGACACAAAAATATAATACTATGGAAAAGAAGCCAGCCACACAAGAGTATACATTTAGCAACTCCATTTCTATCAGTTTTAAGTGAAGCATCCTAGTTTTTGTTGGTAGAAGTCTGGGTACTGGTTTAGGGGAGAGGAAGGGGTCATGAAGTGATTATGTTGGCAGTGCACTTTGTGAAAACTGGGCGGATCCTATCCTTACGAATTTTGCATCTTTCTATATGCATATTCGCCTTTATAACCAACATTTAAAATTATTTTTTCAAAAACATATCAAATATAAAACAACTTCCAGGTTTAAAATTTTCAGTATATTGCTCTTAACTCTTAAAAATATGTAGCTCTTAACTCTTAATGAGTACTTAAGACACAGTCTCATGATTGTTCTTTTTGTTCTGCCTACAGCCATAGGATGACAGGTTGGCCTCTCTCACTGGGCCAAAGGTCATATTGGCTCACCAGCTTCAGTAGCTCCTCTCTGGCCACTCAAATATGAAAAGTTGTCCTCAGATGCTTGATAATAGTAGACTTTACTAACTGACCTCGGTTAGGGCTCAGAGTTCTTCTGAAAACTCTCTCTTACTGTTTCTTTCTCAATTTCTGTTTTTTAAATGTTTGTTATGGGGTTTTATAACATTCATAACAACTGACCAAAATAAAGAATATGTACTATGGTGCGGGAGAAACAGCTCAGCTGCTAAGGGCCCTGTTATTCCCGAGGACCCAAGTTCAGGTCCCAGCACCCACGTCAGAAGCCTCACAACTGCCTGTAACTCCAGCTCCAGGATGTGACAGCCACACCCACATAACATATCCCCACACAGAGACATACACATAATTTAAAATAATAAAAACAAATCTTAAAATGCATAGTATTGAAAGTTAAAGTGCATATGATACATTTCCTTGTAGGTTCAAACATTCTTACTAATGGGTATGCCCAATCAAAGATAAACACTGACTACTGGCTTAACTAAAATGCCTCAATTACCCAGAATCCACTGTAGAATACTTGTCTGGTGCCTCATTGTGGCCTGTTACAGGCATTGGGGTAGTCAGGCCAGTTTGCCAGCGTGTCTGATTTATTCAACAAATAAATCCTATTTGAATTCGATTTTCTTGTGCTGCTCATTGCGACATAATAAAAAGAAGAGTGGGTGATTTTATTAACAGATCAGATGTAATGGATGCCATGCACTCTGTTATAGAAGGCTAAGGTGAGAAGATGGTGAGTTCAAGGCTAGACTGGATAGCAGTGTCAGATCCTGTCTCAAAAAAATGTTAAAGTATACAGAAATAACTTTTCTGCAAGTGGTTAATATTTAATGACAACTAACTGCTTTTTTCTATCCTAGGCTGACCAGATATCTGGTTTTCACATAAGATCTGTTCTCTGTGTCCCTATTTGGAACAGTAACCACCAAATAATTGGTAAGATGTTATCCACATGATTATTTAAAACAGTGTTCCCCAGTGTGTGTGTGTGTGTGTGTGTGTGTGTGTGTGTGTGTGTGTGGCCCGTATGCAAATGCATGTGCACTTGTGCAGGAGTGTGTTGCCCTTGACCTCTGACTAGCCTGAGGCTTATAATAATCCTCCTTCCTCTACCTCCCAAATACCTGGACTTACAGGCATATATCACCAGGCCAGTGTCCTCCAAATTTTTATGTCCAAATTTACCAATGTATGTCTCCATATCCTTCTACAATTCCATAAGTATAGACTACTAAAGAGTGGGAATTAATTAAAACAGGAACACATATCTATTAAGCTCAAAGAGCTAGTAAATTCTGAAGGTGGAAGGAGTCTCAGACACCTACCAATTGAACATTGTTATTTTATATTACAGATGTTGAAAAGTAGAGATGCAAGTAGGGAGGGAAAGATGGAGGAAAGGAGAGAGAGAGAGAGAGAGAGAGAGAGAGAGAGAGAGAGAAACAGTCACAACATTACAGTTAGTAAAAGGATCAAGATTAAACTTGAGGAGTCCTAACTTTCCCATGATGTCTATCTATGTCCATGCCTGAGCTTTCACATAGTGTGGGTGATCTGGACATGTATCTTTGCTGGCATGTCTCTGAATGGACACTTTCCCTACAATAAGAAAACTGTAGGCAAAAGCAGCTTCATCTGGAATCCCAGATGGAGAAAGAGATTATGGTTAAGATTAATCAACCATAAAGGAGAGAGGCTTACTTAAAACTATGAAAATGTGATTTTTTTTCTTCTAAGAGACATAAGGTGATGGATGTATTTTATGCATATTTTGCTTCTCTCTACCATTCCCTAAGATCACCAGCTAAGCTCAAAGCTATTACTACCTAGCCAATGACTTAGTACCCTGTGAGTATTGTCAAGACCTGATTTTTTTTCTTCTTAGCAGAGCCTTGTTCGTCCCTGGCTAGGACAAACTCTGTATGTGGCTAAGAACAACCTGGAACTTTTGGTCTCTTGGCTCTGCATTCTGAGTGCTGAAATTACAGGTGTGCATCATCACACCCAATTTATGTGGCCTTCCTTGCTCACTAGGCAAACACTGTACAACTAACTGAGTTACACCTGCAGCCCAAGTCCTACATTTTTAAAGGATGTCTTCCCCACCGGACCACTTAACTTGCACACATACTTTAGTGTTATTAAGCATAAAGACTATTTTAGGCTCTTAGAATCTGAGGCTGAATACAAAGGGGAATTAACTTATATCATATGTAAGTTTTAAGTAAATCTAAATTTAAAGGAGAGAAAATGTCCATAGGAAACAATTGGTATTGATTGAATGGCAACCTCACATGTCCTACATCTCAATCCTAATGATAAACATCTGCTATTACTTTAAGGTCAGGACTGTAGTTTTCCTGTTATATGCTAAAGACTTTTCATTTAGTTATATGTTGTTGAGGATCTGATGAGTTAGCTCACCAGTGGAAGTTGGGCACTTTTAAAAATACAGGATCCCTTTAGAATCACAGCTATTTGTTTTCTTTTTTGGTTTTTCAAGACAGGGTTTTCTGTGTAAAAGCCCTGGCCTTCTTAGAATTCTCTTTGTAGACCAGGCTGGCCTCGAGCTCACAGAGATCGGCCTGCCTCTGCCTTCCAAGTGCTGGGATTAAAGACGTGTGCCACCACCACCCAGGGAATCATAGCTATTTTTATTTGCTTATTTCTACTAAATGGGGACACAGACTAGTGGCTTTCAGGGTTGGGTTTTTCAGTTAGACTGTTGTGTTTTGGAAGTCAAATACCAACACATTTGGTATAATCCTGGGAATGTATTTGAAAAGAGGAAGCCCTCATGAGCTGAGTCTGTTAGAGGTGTGTGAGCCATCGATAGCGGGTGGCAGAACTGATTTTGCTTTGACCCGTGTGTGTCCCATAATAACATGTTGTATGTCTTGATCGTGCCTAATGAAAATTTAAAACTTATTTCACATTGTTATAATCCTTTGAGATAGTTTGTGTTTTAATTCTTTTTGTATAGATGAGGAATTTCATCTCTAAAAAGTGCATTCACTCATGGTCACACAGCTCATATTGGAACTGAAACTTGAACTAAGGTTCTATCTAAATCCAGAGTCCAGGTTCTTAATCACTATGCCACACTGCCCCTCTTAAACACCAATGTGTGTGTGGGGGGGGAGAATTTTATATTATAGAGAGATAATAGATTCGGTGATATATGTAAAACTGTGTGTATATATTCGAGGATACTTGCCAGCTGTATCAAACCTCCAGTGAGATGCAGTTTAAAATGAGTGTGTTAAGCTACTCATAGAATTGGCTCTGGCATACTCCATCATAGTGACACAGTACCCAGTACTGACCACTGTCCCTACATTCCATCAACAGGGGTCGCTCAAGTGCTGAACAGACTCGATGGGAAACCTTTCGACGATGCAGACCAGCGGCTTTTTGAGGTGAGCAAATCAATTTATAAGCCAAGGGCCAGAACTGAATCACCAATGTTTCCTTGCCCACATTTGTTAGGATAAACATTAATCATTTTAACATGGCTAAATGATGTACCAGAAAAGAAGAAAATGTAAAGATTATATAAAGGCATAAGCAAGATTTGATTGTGTTTTCACTCATCAGATTAGTTTGTAACCTTTGATCATTCTATCTTATTTCAGAATTGAATTACCTCCACTTTTGTCTGATATTACCATCCTTGTCTTGTTCGCACATGTCCAGTCATGAAACCCTTAGCCAGCCCTGCCAGGTATATGTCCCCCAAGTTCCCTTCAGCTCACAAGGCTCTGTTTCTTTGTGTCTCCAGCAGAAGAGACTAGCTTTGATGTGCTTTCTCCTGGACTGTGCCAGAATCACCCACCAAAAATGCATAGCCTTATTTTTTCTCATTGTGTCTTTTCCAAACCAGTCTCATTGTCCTTAGCTCTTAGTTCATGGTTTCTCTTCCTTACTTTCTTGGCCAATATATTTTATAGCCTTGCTATTGAAAGGGGCTGATTCTAGTTAAATAAAATAGAATAATTAAAATCAGTCTACTGCCCAAATAAATTAAGACCACATTTAAACACATTGTATGCTTTCAAATGTGTGAAGTTATTTCTTCACAATGTCATTAAAGTAATGACTTTTTTCCTCATGTGCAATGTGAGCTATAAAGTTACATGACAATAGTAATTAAGAATTTTAATGCACATTTCCATGAGGTCTACTTTTGAGCACAATAAAATTATATTTTCAGAACTGTCTCTGGTGACCTCCTGCTTTCATATTAGAATTTGGCTGTGAGTTATTACGGTTTCTAATTAACGGGCTTTCTCTGTCCCAGGCTTTTGTCATCTTTTGCGGCCTTGGTATCAACAACACAATTATGTATGATCAAGTGAAGAAGTCCTGGGCCAAGCAGTCAGTGGCTCTTGATGTAAGTATAGTATTATGTCAGCATGCTAGGCTGAAAAGCCTTGACTTTATGAAGCAAAAATTTGTCCTATTCATGGGCCTTCATTTTTAAATCTTAATGACTCTCCTCACTTGGTCTTAATTATTTTGTGGTCTTGCATTACACTGGGTAACAAATGGAGACCCTCTCTTGAAAACTACACAGTGCTGCGGTAATATCAGAGAGTTTTTGGATTCCTGGGAGCCCACCCATAAACATGATATCACTGGATATAGATTTTTATACTTAATTTCTTAAATAGAGATAAGTCAAAATCATTTGTCACTGCTATAATCTCAACACTTGGGAAGCAGGTGCAAGAGGATGAGTTGGAGGGCAGTCTGAGCTACATAGCCAGACCCTGTCTCCAACAAACAAGCAAAAACTATTGTCAGAACTTAAAATAGAGTATGAACTTGAATATATGTGTTTGTGTGTGAGTGTGTGTGTGTGTGTGTGTGTGTGTGTGTGTGTGTGTGTGTGTGTGTGTGTGTTTCTGTAAAGGCACAGCCTTCCTTATCACACAGGGGAAACTTGGCTCTGAAGATGTGTAGCCCAGATCTGCTCCTTCCATGCATGCATGTGTACACACTTCCTAACAAGAATTACATTCTGATCCTTGCATGTCTGCCCAGACCCACCAAGTTCCAAAGAATAATTCTCCCCTCCTCTGAATCTCAGAGGCTTATTTTGACACAAGACCTGTTTTTTCTCTATAGATGGTACCAAAGATGTTGCTTTTATCTAAGAAAAACTTCGGAAAGGGGAGAGATAAAATATCAGTGCCAAAATATCAGTGACATAACAGTATGATAGAATTCATGTGCATTCTTCAAAACGTTCTTCATACCAAGCTAGGTGCTGAGAGAAAGAGAAAACTCAGAGGACATTGTGGTTGCATATTTAAAAGACATAAAATTATCGCCATCTAATTGATCTGCATACTTTCCTCTTCCCGTTTAGACCATGAGTTCTGGAATCACAGAATTTCGTGATTTATTTTTAGTGCCTGGGAGGATCCTTAGCACAAAGAAAGATCTATGGAATAGATCTTAGGTGGAGGAATGGGGAAAGGAAAGGGGGTAGATGGAAAACATTGAGGTAAGAGGTTTGGGATAGTTCTCCCAAGAAAGAATTCTTTGTTTAAATGAAACATGGTGATAGTGAGGATTAAAGACAGTGCCTTTAACCAATAGGTGAACTCAAGACATATAGCCGATGTATAAGAATCAGTACTAAACAAGACATGGTGGCACATGTCTTTAATCCCAGCACTCAGAAGGATTTCTATGAAACTGAGGCCAGTCTACTTTACATGGTGAATTCCAAGCCATACCTGACTACATAGTGAGATCATGTCCCAGAAAGAAAGGAAGGAAGGATAGGTGGGAGGAAGGGAGAGAGAGAGAAAGAGAAGGAAAAAGAAAAGAAGGGAGGAATGGAGGGAGGAAGGAATTGGGGGAGGGAGTAAGGGAGGGAGGGAAGGGGGAAGGAAGGGAGGGAGGCAGTCACTGCTAGAGAGCTAAGGAGATAGTTCTGGTGCACTTGCACTACCCTTTATAAGTGTGAGGACCAGTGTGTGGACCCCAGAACCCACATGAAAGCTGGACAGCTGCATGGGTTTGGCAGCTGCCTGTAATTCTACCTCTCAAGAAGCATAGATGGGTCTCCCTTGGGCAACACTGCTGACTAGTTGGAACTGGTGAGCACCAGATTCAGTAATGGTGGGTCTCCTTTTGCATACAAGTACACACACACACACACACACACACACACACAGAATCTACTACACACACACACACACACACACACACACACACACACACAAAATCACTACCAGAGCAGGAAGGTTTGTGTGCCAAACTGTTATCATATTGTGACTCAGTTGTGAGAATTGCGTGAGATAATACTTGTGAAGGTTTTAATGAGCAATCAGTAGCATTGTCCAACAACAGTAATCACCACTATGCTCACACATGCAGTAGTGTGTTTAGTACTGAGATGTGATTGGGAGAAGGAACAAAGGACCTGAATATGCAACAGTGAATGTTGAAAGTGTTTCCTTGACTCTCATCAAACTCTATCACCAGGCACCTCACCCACTGTTTTTTACCACTTGTAGCTGTCTAAAAACAAACAAAACAACACAACAAAGAACACCGAACACTAGTCCCAGCTAGACCTGCTCATGCCGTGGCATCATTACCATGGAGAGCAAACATCCATGCACCCATCCACGCACCCCTGCATTCTCACTCTTCACCATCCCCCTAGTGCATCTTCATCCTGTTAAGGGGCTAGAATGACTGGGTTGAAGCATGAAGGGTCCCTTGTCCCCAGATGAGAGTCTTGTAGCCATCTCCTCCAAACACCCCTCTAGCTTCAAGGCCAGGCCCTAGCCACCGTCTCCGAAGGTGGAGGCTTACTTGTGTTCCTGGCCAACATCTTCATGCTGGTGCCACTCACTTACCTCTGTCCTTACACACAAATTATGACTGATGCTACCTGAGTTCTGCCTCAACTCAGATTCTGACAATCTCACCCTTTTAAGAAGTTGACTGATGCTGCTGATTTTTTTTGTTTGGTGGGCTTGCTGTCATGCCAGTCAAAGGTAGTCTTCTCTATTAGATTCTGCTATTGCCACCTTGGTGTCCTCTGACCCTTAGCCAACCTTCATGCCCAGGAAGGCAAATCTTGTTGATTGTGACAAGTTGGCCCCATCCTATGCCCTGGCTAAGAATCCATTGAAAGAGTTCTTATCTTCAGCACTTACAAAGACAAGATGTGATTTGTTTGAGAGCTACTCACAAATTCAGTTGTGACATTTTCTCATGCTATGATGTGTTAACTTCTGAGTGAATGTATATTAAATCTATGTGCTTATAAATATATGTGAATGTGAACAAATTTTTGTAAATATTTTCATTAAAATATGCTTGTATATTTATATTATTAGAAACTTAGTTCTATAAAGGATATGAACTACTGTATAATATTACACATGGCCTAGCAAAACATTGAACAGTAAAATAATAATAATTGCCAAGATACAGAAAGAAAGCCAGAAGGGACAGAACCAAATATAGAATTACTCTTAGTTTTAATCCCTCCTGCCCTGGGCTGGTCCTTTCTCATTTTCCATTACAGCCAAGGAAAGATTTCCTACTCGGTCTAGCCAGAATCATGCCCCTTTTTTGTTTTGTTTTCTGAGACAGAGTTTCTTTGTGTAACAACCCTGAATGTTACTCTCTCTGTAGAGCAGGCTGGCTCTGCCTCCTGAGTGCTGGGATTAAAGAAATACACCACCACACCTAGCCTTTTTTCATGATCTATTTGTATTTTATGTGTATTGGTGTTTTGCCTGCATGTATGTCTATGTGAGAGTGGTGTGGGCATCACCTCCAAAACAGCCTGAAGGACTGGCCTTCCCCCTCCCTCCCTCCCCCCTCTCTCCTCTTCCCTCCCCCCTCCTTCCTTCCCTTCCTCTTTCTTAACAGAATTCATGGCTTTAACTTATTCCGCCCTCCTCAAAAAGCAACTGATTTATGTGCATTTATTTAATGCCAGCTACTTTACTTATTGATTTAAAGCATACCAAATTATACAAATATATATATGTATATACATTTAAATATGTTTCTCTTTTGATTTTTTCACACTGTTAAATATATTTCTTTATATATTATTTTGTTAAACTGATCTGGAAAACATCCTCCCAGACCTCATTGCTTTAAGTATACTTTGAATATCTGTCTCGCTTTGCACTAGTGTCTCCCGAAGAAGGAAGCTGATGGCTTCAGCCAAGCCAGAAGCAGGCGATGTGGAAGACAGCCAATTCTCATGTTTGCACATGTCTGGTTCTAATTTGGACGGGTTCCTGATTCCATAGCTGTTGACCTTGGACATTCTATCCATATAAGTCCTTAGTTACGTCATATGGCAAATGAGCATAAGAAAGTATTTTTTACAGTTAAGTAAAACTACATAGGGACAGTGTTTAGAGGCAGTATTCAATTATAATCGACATACTTGGTCCTCTCAATTCATTGTCTCCACATCTGTGGATTCAATCATGGGCGAGAAAGATCTTAAAAAATTAGAACTGTGGTAAACACATACAAACTTCTCCCCCTTGCCATTTTTTCCTAAATAACATAGAACCACAGCTGTCTACTAGCTTTTACACTATGCCACCTAGGGCAAGCAACGTGGAGGTGACTCAGCCTTTGTGAGGGTACGTACATAGCTTATCCACAAGAACTGAGCCATATTAGAGAAGGTACTTGAGTATCCGAGGATTTGGTCTGAGGGAGGCTGTTGTGGATCCATACTCTCTTAGAGCTAAGGAAGAGAGCTGACCTTAGCAAAAGTTAGCTGCTTGTACTGACCAGTGTGTTACTGTCTTGATCTCCATTGAATTCTGTCTGCTTACCCTCAGATTATTTTAAGGCTGAGCTGGCTGGGGGCCATACTCTTTGCCTGTTTGATTAGGCAGATCACTTCCTGCTTCAAGTTTTGAGTTCTAAATAGATTTGCCTTCCCTTCATTCTCAGACTCAGGCTCTGCAAGTTACTTCACTGTGCTTCTGGCACCATTGCAGTGCACCCTAGTGCCTTTGCAGGTGAGGTTGTCCTAGAGCTCTTCAGCTTCTTCCAGGCATGCCCAGTGCCTGCCACCTGTGTTACCATACAGAAAGGTACAACCTGGAAATAACAACCTCATACCTGAGGGCAAAACAACCAGAGAAAGACTTAGCATAGAAGGGAGTCTCTTCCCATTGCCACATGCTGATAACTTCAGCTCATTTTAGTCACCATCCAACAAAGGTGAAAAATATAAACGTAATACCTCCTACTTTTCTGGCCTTTAAAAATGGAACGACTAATATAGTACCGAGATTTTGTTTAACAATTGAGTTATCAATCCAATTATTTTGGTGACTGCTTTTCTTGAATTTCTCATAATTCAGTTATAAAATTCTATTGTTAAAGTCCTTTTGCCTAAATATGTAATATTAATACTGTGCAGCTCTTAGATGCTCTTAAAGCAGAACAAAGAAAGAAATTTGCAGTCATTTTAACAAATTTACTTTTATGATTGATTTCCATTCTGTGCAAGCAGCCAGAAGCTCCAGAAAAGCTTTATGTTCCTGTTTTCCCAGAGTGGGGTCCAAAGAACAAAGGGGAAACTTTACCTAAAAGGTCAGAATGCAGAGAAAGGACAATAGGAACATAGATGTGGGATATCCATGTCCTTATTTGGAACATCAGGAATTGTTCTTTGGGGTGTCCTTCATGGTTATTGCAAATGAAGCCTTACCTAGTACTGATGAGAGTATTTCCAGGAAGTATATGTCTGGGTGTTAAGGGATGCCTCATACAGTTTTATGACCAGAGCAAAGAGAGGAGAGAGGGTCAAACAGAGTGAGAAAAAGGCGAATGCAATCAGCAGCCAGGCGCCATTTCTTCTACCTCCCGAGAGCCTCTCCCATCTATTTCCTCTTTTCCAATTTCCACAGCAGCCATCCTACTTAAGGGCTTCATTACCCCTTGGCTGGGCAATTGCAATCCCCTTCTCCTTGTTCCTCCTAAAACAGAGTTTAGATTGCATCACTCGCCCACTCATAGACCTTAAATTACTCCCCTATTACCTATCAAAATACAAATGTCCTGGCCCCTGGAGCCTTTCCTACCCTCAGCTCTCGTTTCCCTTCTCGGAGAATTTTATGCTACTTACACACTCAAGAACTTCATAGTCTACAAATCAGCCGCCTACTTATCTGCCATCTGATCCTTAATGTCCCCTCCACATTCATTATTCTCTGTTCCAATTATGCCTCCACACTCAGAACTGTCTGTTACTTAGAGCTTGATTTAAATGCACTTTTGTCCAGGATTATGTATGTAAATGTTCTTTTGTCCAGTAGTATACCTGTGTATTTTCCTCTGTCTGAACATGTGTACCCTAAAGTATGTGGTCATGCTCCATCCCCCCCCCCACACACACGGTGTTTTCTATATAACTGGTACTCAGTAAAAATGTATTGAATAAGTGAACACATTTGTGCTGCCTTCAACTGTGCTCTTCCAGAGCAAGAGTCCAAAAGGGGAAAACTTTGACTCTTTAAGGTTGATGGCAAAGGGAAAGGAAGTCATTTTTGGTGGAAACCTAGGTGCCCACAGACTGGCGGGGCACCTCTGTATTCTCCACACCATGAGCAGAGTTGGTTTTGTGAGGAAGGACATGGGGACCAGTAACGAAGAACTCTTTCCGGACATCGTGTCCCACGTGAATCCTCCTTCTAAAGAGTTAGGAGCCAACCCAGCTTCCTGAAGCTAGGGGGAAGAGATGAGTCTCCAGTGACGAATCTCTTGAACTCCAAGGAAACTTTCCTGTGGTTGGGTGATTAAAGATGTAAGATGTGATCACAGGCTACTTTCTCTCACATTTCCCCTCTGTACGGAGCCTGTCTTCACCACCCCTGGATGAAGCTCTTAGACGGCATTCATCTTCCGATACCCTGGGACACTGGGTAGCTGTAAATCACCCTCTTTGTTGCAGTTAGAAGCCTGTGGCCAGGAGAGTTTACAATGAGCTTCTTTACATTTATTTTTCTTCCTTCCTCCCCAAAACAGGTTCAGGGAAGGGAGAAGTGGGGTGGAAATGCAGAGCCTTTGTGGGTGGTGTTGTCCTCACCTGGCTACCGGGTACCTGAGCCAAACACCTGAATTCTCTGTTCATCATGAGTTGTTTGCACAAACTCTAGGCAGCTCTGCGGCCAGCACACTCCCACTGACAGCTCCTGTCACTGTAGGTCTGCCCCTCATGACAAGGCCTGACCTCCAGGGACCCACACATCCTTCCTTCTCTGAGGCTCAGTTCATTCCTCTAAGTGGCTGTCTGGGGCATGGTCCTTTCTCATTCCTTTATAGTTGTGGCAAAAATAAGGGTAACATGGAATTTATTGTTCTAGCCGTTTTTAAATGTGCAGTCCAACGGCACACACAAAGTCCTTCACATTATTGTACAGGCCTCACCACCATCTGTCTCCCACACCGAGGCTACATCCACTGCACACTGACGACAGTTCCCTGTAGCCCATGGCAACCACCATTTCCCTTTGCCTGTGACTCTGACTATGCTAGGAAGCTCTTGTACGTGGAATCACGAGTGTCCCCTTTTGGCTAACTTCACCTAATTCATGGAGGATGCTGTTCTAGCTGCTGAGGATTCAGCAGTGGAAAGAAGACAAGTCTTACTTCTTATACTCTAGTAGAAGACAAGAGTAGGTAAACGGAATACCAAGAAAAACTCATGATAATGTGTCATAAAGGAAACAGCAGGGTATTTAGTAGAGAGTGAAAACCAGAGAGCTATTCTGGTACATTCTGAAGAGGCCCGTGTTAGCTTTTGCTGCTGTGACAAAATACCTAAGGAAAACAGCTAATGAAGAAAAGGTTGTTCCAACTCAGGGCTTCAGACATTACTCTGCATACTCGATGGGCTCTGTCACTTTACACCTGGGATAAGGCAGGGTATTGTCATGAAGGGTTTGGTTCAGCAAAGCAGCTCACCTCATGTGGGTCCAGGAGCCAAGAAGAAAGAGGAAAGGAATGGGGTCCCAATACCTCTGTCAAGAACCTGTCCCCAAATAGAGTCCTCTCTCCTAAACTTTCCCCCACCTCCCGATAGTAACACCTATGGAGAGTTAACACATAAACCTTTAGGGCACGTTCCAGCTCCAAACCATTACAGGGCTTCCTTGACACTCGTTGCCTCTTCTTTTGTTCATTTTGTGAGTTCCATCTAAACCCATTTGCCTGTGTGGACTTTGCTCCAGGTGCAGTGTGACTTTTTCTTCTTGCATCTTATGAAGACTAAATAAATGTCTTAGTTAGGGTTACTCTTGATGCAATGAAACACCATGACCAGAAAGCCAATTGGGAAGGAAAAGGTTTATTTGGCTTATACTTCCACATCACTGCTTATCAGAGAAGGAAGTCAGGACAGGAGTTCAAACAAGGCAGGAACATGAAGGCAGGAGCTGATTCAGAGGCCACGGAGAGGTGCTGCTTACTGACTTGCTACCCCTGGCTTTCTCAGCCTGTTTTCTTAGAGAACCCAGGACCACTAGCCTAGGATTGGAACCACCCACCATGGGCTGGGCTCTCCCCCTTCAAGCACTAATTAAGAAAATACCTTACAGCCAGATCTTATGGAGGCATTTTCTCAATTAAGGTTCTCTCCTTTTGGATACCTCTAGTTTGTGTGTCAAGTTGATATAAGACTAGTCAGGACACTAAGCATGAGATTTTGGGACGGTAATGGCCCATGCCTGAAGTACATGGTACAGTCTCGTAGGTTTTCAAAAAAGAGTGTGGACAAACTCACAAGCCTTTTGTGTGTCCTGGGGCCTTTGCCGGTCCACCGGTGACCTCTGGATTCCCTTTGGTCATATTCATAGAAGGGAGAGCAAGTTGATGTGGGCAGTGCCTAAGCACCTGGCGGGGAGGGCAGGTCCAGTGTGATCCTACTGCGTTGAAAAGATTCTCTTCCCTCAGCCAGGTCCCACTGAACTCTAGATCACTTCCACACTCCAGTCTATGCGGCTGGTTTGCCATGGTTCCCCTAGTGCTTGTACAGGACATGGGCCACAGGCTTCCTGAGGGAAGTACTTGCAAAATGAATCCAGTACAGGCGGTGGTGGACTCTTTTAATCTCAGCACTCCAGAAGCAGAGCCTGGAGGACTTCTGAGTTCGAGGCCATCCTCCCTGGTTTACAGAGAGAGTTCCAGGGCAGCCAGGGCAGGACAGAGAAACATTGTCTCAAAAAACCAAAACCAAAACAACAGCAACAAAAAGGAAAGTACAGGCAAAGATTACAATCATAAAGTACAGCAAGAGTCTCCTTCCCGCACACACTGCGGGGCAGTGCTCATGGGCACTGATAGTAATAGTTACTCACAGCGTCTCCTGCCCCCACCGTCATCCAGGGCTTTCTGTTCAGTAACTCCCCCAAGATGGGAGCAAATTCCTCAGCAGGCAGCGGATGGGGAAGGGATTGATTGATTAGCGGAGCTGCCAGGACTCTGGGAGAGCGCTCTGACACAGAGAAGGAACAGCGCCCTCGTGGGGCTGCTTGAAGAACAGCTCTTTCTTGTCTTTACAC